TTCCAGAAGGAGAAGAAATTGGATAATGATTTCACGGGTGCCGTTTTCGAGGGTAAGTTCTACGGGCCAGAGGAGTTCAAGTCGCTGGAGAATTTGCCGACGCGGGCCGAGATTTATTCGCAGCTTTTGGGGGCTATAAAGGGACCAGCTTCTGCTGTTGTAGGGACAATTCAGGCGCCTGCTAGGGATTTGGTTATGGTGCTTAAAGCTTATTGCAAGAAGCTTGAAGAAGAAGATGCTGGACAATAAGGGTGTTTTCTCTTCTTTCATTAATGGTGAGCAAGGTTCTTTTCTTGTTTCTTTTTCTTTTCAAAANGTTCTTTTTGTGTAATTGATAATACAATTGGTGATTGTTCTATCATGGGCCTGCAATTCAAATCCTGTTTTCTCTTCATTTTTTCTTGGACTTGTCATTGTTGTATAATTTATGATCTGATCTTTGTCTGGTTGAGTATATCATGTGCTCTGAAATTTGGGGCAGATAGAATTTGTAGTTAAAGGTAGCAAAAAATCAGTTGAGCATGTGTGGATATTATTTTAAGCTACTTGCTATTGTTGTTTTTCTAACTGGTGAATTATATGGGGGCAAATTTGATGAATGCTTTAAATGATTCAGCTTAGAATCAATGCATTTTAAATCCTCCAAAATGATTCAAGAATAGATTGCAAGATTTTGAAATTTACTGTAAACTTAACTCTATCCAGACGATCACCTTGTACTATGAATTTAGCAGTTCAAGTGAATTTAGCAGTTCTGGGCTGTGATTCTCCAAGTGCCTGATAAGCTTATCATTGTATTTTCTTGTTAAGCTATACCCATTGTCCATTGGATAATTTCTTAATGATTCAAACAGCTTACCATTTTCTTATCATATGTGGTGTCGGGTTGGATTAGTTTAGAGTATGCAGCGTTTAAATGGTTTTTATATTTACTCTTTAAGACTGCCAAGACCTGTTTAGGTATGGTACCTTTGATCTAATGCATATAGTATGAGCTCGATAGATTTTATTGGTAATGAATTATGTGTAATTTAAAATCTGCATTTGTGTAACCTTGTTGTGTTGAATCCCTGTTTTGAAGGTTATATCTTACGTGGTTCTGCTGCTAAATTTTGCTTGCCCTTAGATGAAAAACAGAAAATATCCGTGTGCACTGTTTTTAAAGCTATATCTTTCAACCTATTGACAGGATGAGATTGTGAAATTGATTGTGAGATATGTAAGCCAAAAAGGGGACTTAAGCTGTAAACTGGAAGACATTGTGTAATTTGTATCTAACTAAAGCAGCTCTTGTTAATGCAGATCAGGTATAGCTCCAGCTAAACAGGATTTTTTTATTAGAGCTTATGGAGCTTGTTGAAGCTTTTTCTGTAAATTGCTTCGTTACTGAAAAAATATTATACCTGCTTGGGATTTTGCCCCTCTTATGGGGTATTAATCCTTTTGAATCTGCTTGCGGTTTTGTTTGCTCTTAGTCTTACATATAATATAAGATGCTTTGTGGATTTTTGTTTGGATTTTTGTTCTAGTTTGTGCTCAAGTATGTTTGCTGACTTTTCCTTATCAGAAGACCTGAACTTACAACAACATTTCAAGACAATGAGAATGATTAGTTATCGTGTAGCTTTTCGAGTTATTGAGGGGGCGATTGGCTATAGATTAAAATTGATTTAGACCGAATGGATAATTTTTTTTATCTATTTTAATTCAAAATCCAAATCAAATTTAGTACAACCTAACTGTCCTTAATACTATCAATATAATTTAATAATATCAATTAATCATCTTAACGCATTTCATCAAGTTTAATTTAGTATTCGTCTACTTCCATATTTTTAATTATTTATCATTTTACATAACTTCTTTTCTTCTTTTACATCATATCAACTTTAATCATTACATTCTAAATATTATTTAAATATAGAGTCAAAATCTCATTCAATCCTCCACTCAATCAACTGTGTTTAAAATCAATTCCGTTTAAACTCAAAATCAATCAAAATCGGTTTTGATTTATATACAATCGTCCCTGGAAAGCCTTTATAATCTTAACCTATAAGATGAGATATGTTCCAAGTAATGATATATATCATTAAGGTTGTTGTTGTTGTTGTTAGTGTTTATACTAAAAGCTTGTTTTTTGTTATGAATACTATTTTCATTTAAATGAGAATCATGTTTAACTAAATGTTTCTACATTTTGTTATTTTACAATTTAGATAAATATGGTTCATCACGGATATGCAGAAAATCATATTATCAGTTACTTGTAAAACATAAAGACTGGTTTACAACTTAGATGGAATCGAACATGCTATCGAGAAAGGTTGTCGTATAATTTGGATCGGTTAGTCTTGACTGATGAATTACACTAATACACTAAGAGTGTACTGAACGGGCATGCAGATGATAAGATTATTTTATACTCACCAAGTAAATAAATTAGATATCTGTAATTACCGCGTACTCTTAAGTTGTAAGATAATAGCAGACACATGCACTTAGTAATTATTTCTTTGATTCACTAAAAAGTGAGATTCATTGTGCTGAATCAATAGTCTAGGTGAGTTGGAAATTTGTTTCGCACTTCATTAATTATCTTTGTATGTCTGTATGTTGTATAGTTATTCGCATAATATTTCACACTTTATCAGTTATTTTCATCTGTCTGTCTGTCTGTCTCATAATTCATCACATAATACGTTTCGCACTTTACCAATTATCTTCGTCTGTCTATCGCATAGTTATTCGCACTTGCTCAATGAACTTCATCTGTCTATCACATAGTTTCTCGCATAAGTAATTCACACTTGCTTATTTATCTTCGACTGTTTGTCATATATTTTATCGCATAAGTGATTTGCGCTTGCTCAATTATCTGCTTATGTCTGTCTGTCGCATAATTTATCGCATAAGTAATTTACACTTCCTCAATTATCTTTGCTTGTCTGGCGAATAGTTTACTGCATAGATATTTAGTACTTTATCAGTTATATTCGGCTGTATGTCGCATAGTTTATCGCATAATCTGTTTCACACTTTATCAATTTTATTCGTCTATCAGTCGCATCGTTTATCACATAATGTGCTTCGCATTTTATTAATTTTCTTCGTCTGTCTGTCGCATATCGTATCACATAATTATTTCGCACTTTATCGATTATATTAACATGTCTGTCGCGTAGTTTATTGCATATAGATTTTGCATTTATAAATTATCTTCTCCTCTCTTTTGCATATTTGTCGCATGAATATTTCTCACTTTATCAATTATCTTCTCCTCTCTTTCGAATATTTGTCGCATAAATATTTCTCACTTTATCAATTATCTTTGTCTGTCTGTTGCATATTTTTCGTATAAATATTTCGAACTTTTCAATTATCTACGTTTCGCATACGTAGTTTATGGTATAAATATTTCACATTTATCAATTATCTTTTCCTCTCTTTCGCATAGTTATTGCATAAATTATTTTATCAACTATCTTCTCTTCTCTTTCGCATAATGGCATAAATATTTTTCACTTTATCAGTTATCTTCGATTATATGTTACATTATTTATCGCATAATTTTTTTCGCATTTTATCAATTATGTTCGCCTGTTTATCGCATAAACATTTTGCAGTTTATCAATTATTTTCGCATGCTTGTCGCATATTGTATCGCATATTTTTTTGCACTTTTATCGATTATCTTTGCCTGTCTGTTGGGTAGTTTATTGCATAATTTATCTCGCACTTGAAATTTATCAATTATAGACGTCTGTCGCATAATTTGTTTCGCATTCGTGGGTGAAAAAATTAGTATATTATTTGGCAATATGAAAATCTTAATCCATCTTTAAAACAGGGTGAAAATAGTTATTTCATCTTAAAATAATAGTTGCTTCATCATAAAGTTGAGTCCTACTTTTCATTTAAAATAAAAGGAGATTTTCTATTCAAAATTTGGCATTGTGACCAATAAAAAGATGTTGGGGCGAAAATAAAACAATAACTCGAACTTGTTTTTTAAAATATTGAGTCAATTGAAATAGTTTGATGCAAATTCGAAAACTGAATTATAAAGGAAAAATAAAAAGCATATTCTCTCACTAAAAATCGTTTCCCCTAAATCAGAACCTTCGTCGCCGTCGTTTATGCCGAGTTTTCACCCCTTTTGTACTGCACAATCCTAGGTGCTATGAATTCGGTCATCACCAGCCCGAGCAGCTCGTTCCATTAGGAGTCGTCATCCCCTACCTGATGTAGAGCTTCGTCGTACTCGCCGGTCGTCTATGGGTGGTGAAGCGGGTACCGGTGGGTGTTAAATTGGGTCGATCGGCTGGCCCTGCCGAGTGAGTGGGTCGGGGTTGAGGTATGGTCCTTTTCTCCTCTATTTCTGTTTCCCGGTGCTGATGTGTGCCGGGAGTTGATTTTGGCTGGTGCGACTTGTGGTTGGGCTAGGGTCGCTGGTTAGTGGGTGGGAGGAAGGGGTGGTCCTCCGGTAATTGGGTTGGGGTAGCCGTTCGGGGGAGGAGCTTGATCCGTCTACGATTCCAGTTAGCCGTTTGCTGGAGTTTCTGATTCAGATCTTGGCTGAGATTCTTCCTTTGTGCGGTCGTCTCCAGGTGTCGAGCCATGGATTGTTGCGTTTTGCTTGCCGCGAGAGGAGGGTGTTATTTTAGTATTACTAATGTTAGTTTTTGTGTGGTGTTTTAGTTGCCTTGTTGGTCTTTTTGTTTTAGTCTTCTGCTTAGAAATTCGATTCTCCCATAGTGGGAGTTTATTTTGTCTAGTTTTATAGGTATGTTAGTATAAGTCTCTGAGCTACCTTTGTGTATGTCTCTTTTAGATTTAGTTGAATGGCTGCTTGATTATTCATTATGTTTTTTTATTAATCTAATATATCGTTTAAAAAAAAAAGTTATAAAGGAGAAGAAAAGATGAAAAGGTAATACACGAGAGGAAGACAGGAGGACATAAATGTCAATTAGCAATATTCAACTCCAGATCCCGTTTTTACCATTAAAAAACCATTGATATTTTTCATTACCAATTATCACACCAACCCAACAGCCATTGCTTCTCACAGCTCGAACTCTGTTCAAATCCGAAACACCTAAACCCCCAAAACTCGAAAATAAGACGAATTAAACTGAGGTGGCCCTTCAATTGTCAATCTCAGAAGAAGGGCTCAACAATTCAGTAATTTTTCAGAAAGATGGACGATTATACGAGAGAAATGATGGACTTGAAAACCCTGGTTACACGTACTCTCGAGAAGAAAGGCGTCCTTGCCAAGATCCGTGTTAGCATTGCCGCTTTCTTTTCGTACTTTTTGTTTAATCGGGTTTCCATTTGTTCTTCTGTTATAATTTGGCCTTTTCTTATTTGTTTGTTCACTTTTCTTAGTTTGAGGAAGATGGATTTTTGTTCATGTTGTGTTTGTTGGTTGGGGTTGAGGGTTCCTTTTGTGCTGGTTCTGTTACAATTGATTTCACACGTATACAGTAGCTTCAGATTTGGACCCTTTAAACTTTAAAGATTGGTAAATGAAGAATGCTATTTCTGTGTGATGGGCAGATTTGAATGGAGAGGGCATTCTTGGGTTTTGTTGCTGGGTTATAAAAATATGGTTTTAAATGACGTTTCTTGATTTTGCTATTTTTTCAGTTTTAACATTTCTTCTTACACGTAATTGGATCCGGGAGTTTGATTGCAGCTGGTTATAATTGTTGTATCATGATTCGAATTTTCTGCAGGGGACTTTGTCCAAGGGTTATAATGTTCCTAATATTATTTTATATTTGGACCTTTGCCATGTATTATTATTTATCAGTAGTTGGAAATATTACCCAACTAGAAATGGAGTTCTGTAAACCTTCATGTATATATATATATATATATGCTCGGACTGCCAATCTTCTGAAAAAAATGAAACTAGAGTTTTTTGTTTCAAACAATCAAACTTGAAGCTAAGCTTGTGATTTTCTTGGTTTCTAGGCTGAACTAAGAGCTAGTGTGTTTGAAGCAATAGAAGAGGAAGATAGAGTGGTAGAAAAAGATGAAGGACTTCCCCCTGCCCTTTTGGGCAGCTGCAATGACCGTGCAAAGCAACTCCACAATTCTCCTTCAGGTTTTTCAAGTCTCACTATTTTTGCTTTTGTTTTTCTGTTTTTTGCGTCCTATGAGTATGTGCTAGTCATACTTCTTTGGCGTCATCCTATTATATTTCTATATTAGCCTCAGATAGAGATATGTTCCGTGTATTTGAGTTCTATTATGTTCGTCCTCTCTCTATAAGACACGATACTATACTTGTTCCTGGTTTTGCACCTTTTTGTAGAAGTTTTATCTTTTCTGTTATTATCTAAATTGTGCATTAGAAGCCAAACAGAAGGTGTCAGGTTTCGTGAGATTCAATGAGCTAACTTGTATTCTTTTATTATCTATGTGGTTTTGCAGGAAGGCTTCTGACTGCATTGATTTGTGAATATCTCGATTGGGCTCAATTAAACCACACCTTGAAAGTTTACTTGCCAGAGTGTAATTTGGTATTTAGTCGGCAACTTGCCACTTGTTCTGTATGATGTGCATTTTATTAACTTAAATGTGAATTTTCAGCCTAAAGAATCCTGGAAATCAGAGTTAAAAGAATTTAGCAGCAAGAATGGATATGACCTTAATCGGAATGGGGACAGTGGACCATTGCTTTTGGATGTTCTTGAGGGTTTCTTGAAGTATGAGGTTCGAGGAAATTCTAATTTTCATTGTGAACTCTGCTATCATTATTTTATTTTATTTTCGGTTTGATAAACTTCAATATCCTCTGTTTTTGCCTGCTAATGCTCGTGTGTGTGTGTGTGCTCTTCTTGCGCGCACGTTCATTTTCCCGAAGTACTTTAGTATCTTGCATTACACTGACATCATTGATTGTAGAATAAATATTCTTATCATATAAGTTCTTTTATAGAAACATCAGTGTTCCATCTCAATTTTGACACGTGCAATTGCAGAATTTATCTCAAGGAAGGAGTAGCAACAGGAGATTAACCACATCAGATGTCGAATCTCTTTCAAATTTGGAAGCTCGTAACGTGAGGAGACCTTCATCAACATCAGTTGCTGGAGGTTTACCTCCATTAGGAAGGTATATTGTCAATAATCTTTTTTTGCTCGTTTTCCTCTTCAATAACTTGGTTTAGAAGTTTCGGTTGGTATTTTATGGTTCATTCGGTTCTCATTACAGGCCTCTTCCTTCGTCACAGTCTTCTGGTAAGTAGTCACTGTAACTGATGTTATATTCCTACAGCTAGGGTTGTTATTCGAACCGAACGTTCGCGAACAAAGCTCGTTCGAGTTTGTTCGTGTTCGATAACAGCTCGTTTGTTAAGCATTCGAACTGAACACGAACATAAAATTACGCTCGTTGAGTTATCGAACGAACACGAACATGTTCGCGAACTAAACAAACGTTCGCGAACAAAAAAAATATTTTATAATTTTATATATTATATATAGTATATTCATGTGTAATATAATATATAATATGAATATATATTAAATATTAAATTAAATTAAAATATTTTATAATTTTATATATTATATATAGTATATACATATATAATATAAGGAGCTGGTTCAAATAAAAACTAGTCCTGGTGTGAGAACCGTATTTGATGCTATTTTTAATTATGTATGATGTTGTTTTTCACATTAGACGATGCTATCATTTTTACATATGCTATTTTTAATAAAATTCATCCTAGTTAAAAATAGCACCAAAACAATCAATCATAGCACTACGCACAATTAATAATAGCGGTTCTCACGGTTCTCACGGTTCTCACACTAAGACTTAGTTCTCATTTGAACCACATCCTATAATATAATATATGAATATAAATATGAATATATATTAAATATTAAATAAAATAACTTATATGGCATTAAAATTAAAAAATAAAAAGTTAACCAACACGAACATGTCGAACAATTCGAACACGAACTTGTCGAACAATTCGAACAGTTCGCAAACAAGTTCGACTAGATAAACGAACGAACACGAACGTTTCGAACCAATAAACGAACGAACTCGAACGAAATATTTTGTTCGTTTACTAAACGAACAACACGAACATGTTCGAAAATTAATCGAATTCGAGCTCGAGCTCGAAAACCTTAAGCTCGGTTCGGTTCGGTTCGATAACAGCCCTACCTACAACAGTCTTTTTTTTTCTTATAATTTTTAAATATGTTTCTCTCAGATCGTCGAGCTGGCTCGTCTATGTCTGGCTATAGAAAAGATGAATACAATTGGAGATACGAAAATGATGAGCTTCCTGAAGATGTAGTCCGTGCCTCGGCTGCTCTGGAGAATTTGCAGCTGGACAGAAAAGCTCGTAATTTAACTACTTCGTGGAGGTTTGTTTTGAACCTGGAATTTTTCTTGCTTGATGTTTTTCATGAAAGCTACTCTTTAGTTGTAGTGAAAGTCTTGAAAAAACGTTGCTGCTGATGGTGTCAAATGGAATATTAGTTACTGTAAGTCTGTAATTTCAAAAAAATAAAATAAAAAAAAAATCAATTGAATAAATCATGGGATTTCAAAAGCTTTCTTCAGGGTTGATTTTGTGTTGACTAATAATTGATTTATGTTTCACTTATAAAAGTGATGATAATGTTTGTTTATCTATCATACCTTAGAAATAAACAATTCGTTTATTCTTCAGATCAATCCATTCATGTATCATATCCTTTGTAAGCTCATATAGTCCAGATAGTATTGATTATAAAAAAGATGCTCTGAGATTTGTTTCAGCCCAAAACTTATCAACATTACCTTGGTCAGTAGTTGAATAGTGCCTGCTGGGAATTAATGGAATATGAAAAAAGGGATCTCTGTGTTTTGATTGGTTAGTATATTTGCAGGCATGCTGGGGATGGAATATCTGAGGACATCAGCTGAGTGGGCCCCACGATGCATTCATATGATCTTTGACTTAGCTTTGAGTGGCATTTGTTGATCGAACTAGATTTATGTGACAACATTATATACTCTTGTATTTGCGTTTTAGTGATTTTTCCGAGCTTTTTTTTACCCGCTTATTATTCACCTCTTAGTTTCGACCCCATCTCCTTTGTCCTGTTTTGCCTTTTCTTTTGTTGGAGTGTCAGTTTTAGTGTGCGTGTTTTTTCCATTTGTAGGGTGTGAAGGTTGTTGTATTTACGCAATTTACAGATTGTTGATCGACCTGAATGGCTGAATCCATGGTTTAGTATTGAATAACACCTATCTAATGACCTTTTTTTGGGCCATTTTCTTTGAAGTTATATATGGTTTCATGTTTCATGCATGTAGTTGGTGTATGATAGACTGATAGTAGCGAAAGACGTGAGAGAGATTTGAGAGAAAACTCTCGAGTTTTTTTTTATTCAATCACTATCAACCAACTATAACAATAGGAGATGATTTTTTAAGTAGAACTCCTACAAGTCTTAAGTAAATATTTTAATTAACAAGAAAAAAGGAATTAGGAGAAATAATTAAAAATTGTCTATCAAATCTAATATGCTGATAATAATAAATTAAAGGAAATAATTAATTAAATTAATGATGCTAAACGATGTTGCTTGTCTAAAATGGCCAACGGAATCTAGTATCCACCATTCTTTCCTCTTGAAAAGGATTCACTCTCGAATTCGACGCAATATCGTCTTTATTCGAGTTATCGCCGTGAAATAGGACTAAATGCTTGGCATTGAAGATATCATACGTGCGAATGTGAGAACACAAACAGAGGCGGTAGACATTCGGTTCGATTTTCTCAACAATCTCCACTGGGCCGATCCTACAGGTTGACAACTTGTTCTACTCGTGCAGAAAATCGATATTTCGTCAACACAACCCAAACAAAATCACCGACATCAAACTCCACATGACGCTGACGAGTATTCGCTTGCCGCTTGTAGGGCGCGGTCGTTTCCTCCAAGTTCGTGCCAGTCGTCTCATGAGCCCTATGCAAGTCTGCCATGAACTCCTCCGTTCGCCGCTCCACACAATAGGGCGTCCGCAAGGCCACCAGGTCCGCAGGGCTACGCGGATAACCGAATAGACCACCTGAAAAGGAAGAAAATGCGAAGCCCAACTAATGGCGAGTTATGTGCAAATTTAGCCTACTAAGCCGAAGATCCCAACTCCGCAAATTGTCGCCAACCAAGCAACGAAACAAATTGCCGAGCGACATGTTGACGACCTCAGTTTGACCGTCTGTCTGCAGATGATATGTACTGTTGAAATCGAGATGAGTATTAGCTTGGCGCCACAAGCTACGCCAAAAGAAACTAAAAAAGGTTTGACACAATAGATGATGCCAAACCGTGCAAGCGATAGACCTCCTGAAAGAACAGCTGTGCCACATGAACGACATTAGTCATGCGCTTGCAGGGAATAAAATGGACCATCTTGGAGAAGCCATACGCAGCCACAACAAATCAAACCATGGCCTTGTTGTGTGCGCGACAATCCAACACGAAATCCATGCTAATGGCACAACAAGGTTGCGAGGGAACCGCAAAGGATGATAACGATCGGCGTTAGACGTCACCTTCGAAATCTATCAGACGCAACAACAACATAACGCGTGACATCTCGGCACAAAGAAGGCCAGATAAACGAATGTTGCACCAATTCCACAGAGTGATCCTGACCCACATGGCCTGCCCTATGAAGATCGCCAACAAGCTTAAGCTGAAGGCTACAATCCGGAACGCACAGGCACATACCCTTAAAAAGAAATCATCATTCAACAAGTAGTCCTCGAAAGGGCCGGAATAAAGATGCCCCACGGCCGGACCGAAAAACACATCCTTCCCATACAACTCCCCCAATAAATCAAAACCCGTCACTATCACCCTAAATCAATCAAAATAAGGGTGCACCAATAGAGCATCCATCACAAAGTAGTTATAAGATATAAGTTAAAAAAAAAAAAATTGTAATATAAGATGATTAAATAGTATATGTGATTGTGTCATTTTAAATATAAATAACAATAATATATTTTTTCAAAAAAAATCTTTAATATTTAAAACATATTTGTTTTTTATTACTTTTAAATTTATGTATGCATTTTTTAACAAGCACCCATTAATACATGAGTATTGTACTATTACTTTTTATATTTAAGTATACATTTTTAACAAGTAATCGTGTAACACATTGGTATTGTACTAGTATATGGTAGACATGAATAGTAATCAACTTTTTTTTATGATTTATTGTGTTTAAACTATATGACGTGGAAAAAATAGACGAAATTACGATATAAGAGGTACTTTGAGGTGATTTGTTAAAAAAAATATTTATACATATAATTGTTGGCAAAAAAATTATGACAATTGTTTTCGTTTTTCCATCATTTTTTGTTACGTTTTTCATTAATTAAGCAATTGTTTTCTTATATATTTTATTATAATAACTACTACTAACTAATCATTAAGTCAAATTAAATGATATTATATTGTACAACTTTTTTACAAAAATAATTATTTATTTAGAGTTATTATTTTTTTTTTCAAGCTTATAAGCATTTTTTTATGGCATAATCAAACCCCTTAAAATATTGTACATGATTGTTATAATAATAATTTTAATATTTTCTTATGTAATTAATTGGTCATAATCAACTAAGATTGCTAAAGTTTATATTATGGCAATTAATATAAAAGATTAATACGTAAGTTAATAGTTTATGTTTATATCGTTCATTTTCACTAGTGATAAAATTTGAAAAATTTTATATGCTCATTATCTAACTTACAATTTTATATATTACATATACATATAATATATAAAATTTTATTTGCATTTGTGCATATTTACATGATCTAAGTACTAGTAAAGTTAATTGCCAAAAATCCAATCTTGGCAAAAAATAAAAAATAAAAATAAAACATTTCTCCGTACTTGGGGTAGTTTATAATTTACATTAAGTTATTGGCTATAATTCTAACACCACGTAGTCTGCCGACCCACGTGTTTATAATTTTCAATTGTTCTTCGTTAACCCTCTCAATAACGTGGGAATTGGTCCCTCTCAAATCTCAATAACTGCTTTCCCTTTCTTTCTTCTTCTTCTCGCAGAAAGGAAATCAAATACTAATCAATTGTCTTCCTTTTGGATCTTAAATGGCGGTTTTCGGCCGCCTTGTTTGCCGAAGAGCTGCGTCACTTCACAATTTCTGCACCAAATCCACGGAGTCCGACCTCCACAGAGTCTCGTCAGCTCTCTCTTCGTCCCTTCGTGTGGACAATTCGAAGAAAGACAAGGACAGAAATGTCCAGTGGGTTTTCCTGGGCTGCCCGGGGGTCGGCAAGGGTACCTACGCCGCCCGACTCTCGAGCCTCCTCGGCGTTCCCCACATCGCCACCGGAGATCTCGTGCGCCACGAGCTGGCGTCCAGTGGGCCCCTCTCTTCTAAGGTCTCTTTCCAGCTTACTATGTGCTCATGAGATTGGGATGTGTCGTTTTATTGCTTCTAGGTTTCGTTTATATGCTCAATTGTGGTATATTTTGCTTAATTTTGAGATTAATAAATTGTTTTTTCTCTCTTGATTTACTTCAAGTGGATTGTGGTATCTTTTGCTTAATTTTGAGAATAAATTACTTTTCTTTCTTGATTTACTTCAAGTGGGGTTATACGCTCCTTTAGCATATTCCAGGTTTTTTCCCGAAGTTCGGTCACAGATGGTAAGTCCATTACCCGCTATTGAGTTGGGTAACTATCAGTCATATGAAATCAAGATCGTCTAATAAGAATTCTATATATTTTTTTAATTATTATTGTAGATTTGTGGTTATTTGGTCCCAGAGTTTAGAAATTGCCACAAAGGTTGAAAATGAAACGTTCACATTTTGCCAGACCTGCTTAGGTGAAAATAAGTTATGCTCATGCTTGCACATCTTCTTAATGAGGCTTACTTTCTTAGTTTTTATCCCAATTATACATGTGAATCCAATTAGGAGTATGTCCACATGATTGACAGTAGTTTTACATGAATGTGTTTGACCAGTAACTTGATATCTTAGGCGAATTTTCTGATTTACGATGACCATGAGTACTTTTTTTTTTTTTTTTTTTTTTCTTTCACATTGGTAATTATGGTCGATGCAGGATCCTTTAGTTTTCACTATATCAACATGAGTAAATTTGCATCATAACCATCAATTTACAATCCAACCTGAGAAAAGCATATTTGGAAGATGCATTGACTTAGTTGCTCAACAAAGCTACTCTAGTGAGAGAACAACATAACAGAGAAAGTAAAAATTTTGTCAAGCAATGTGTCATAATACTTTTAACAATGTGATTCCCTTTCACCATGCAGCTTGCAGAGATTGTTAATCAAGGGAAGCTAATCTCGGATGAGATTATCATAGATCTCCTTTCTAAGCGTCTTGAAGATGCTCATTCTAAAGGCGAAACAGGATTTATTCTCGATGGATTTCCTAGGACCGTGAGACAAGCGGTAAGCAGTTGACTTTGGAATACTTATTTAGGTTGCAAGCCTATGTGGAGTAAATGTAACTGATTAAAAATCTACTTAGGAATAATTCCAAAACGTTATCTATCTCTGTTTACTTGGTTGATTTAATTAAACCAGCTTTAGACTTGAGTTCATTTTTGTGTGAAGCACTTTGCTGTTTGAAGTGTGCTGTTTTGTAAATCTTCCTGGAATACCACTCACCCTAAATTTTTTACCACAGTGGTTAATTTTTCTGTCATTTCTCTAATTGGTCTGTACAATTTAGCTAGCACAGCTGAGGGAGCACATTGAACTCATACCATTAATTTTTATATTATATTTTTTAAGTCACTTTCTTTGCCACCGGTTATGCCAATATAATAAATATAAGAGTGTTGCACTTTCTATGGAAGAGCAACTTTGGCGAACCATTATTGATTAAACCTTTTCATGCATGATGCATCAATACACATTGCGAGCCAAAAATAAAGCTAGAGCTTAAAACAATTGAGTGGTTTCAACTGCTTTCTATCTGTTCAGCAATCGGCATTTGTCAAATCAACTTCACTTATATGGAGGCCTTTTCTGCAATGACGGAGGTGTATTGGGTCCAGGGGGGTCCATGGGCCCCCCTCATTTTTTTTAAATCAATATATATATATATATATATATATA